AGGTCGTAAATGGTCCAACATAACTACGCACGGCTTCTCTGACTGTAACTATCTCAATAGATCTGCTTCCAAGGCGTTTGCTGGCTTAGTATCACAAGTGAGTCAAAGGAGGCTCGAACGTGTGTTTTCTGATCTAAAGATAGTTAGTGTTTGTGAGAGGCTTTGGGCATCACATATGGGAACTGCAAACTTACCATGTAACTGCATTGCTTAAGGTTAGTGCTCCTCCATCAAGTGCATGGATTGCAATCACACATCTACTGGCTACACAAGTGTCCCCCGCTCATATTGTTGTCCTTCATCTACTGTAGATGTGTTACTCTTTAGTGATCCTTTACGCCATATCTCTCGGACTGGTGAAGATTAGCATCTGTTGGTCCCTCGCGCGCATATTTTCCACTCCGAATGTAGTTTTCATTGCCCGCACCTTAATGGTAATGTCTGTCTTATGGGCAGTACTGACGATTTTCATATCGTTATTCTTCTGCCAGCCAATCAGTCTGAATTGGTCAAGGGTCACGATGGAAGGGCATTGCTTGAACCTCACGGTCGCCTATGGCCTCCTGGCCGCGTTCGACGTCCTCCTTGACATATTTATCCTGATACTTCCATTTCCCACGCTCTGGAGCCTGCAGATGCCAAAGGCAACCAGGGTGACCTTGATCTTTGTGTTCAGCACGGGAATACTGTAAGCTATCTTTGATATGATTTTCGGTTCACTCCTTATCCTTTTCTTTTTTCTTTAATTATCCGTTTCTGACAAATCGCCTCCGGCTGAATAGAACGATGATATTTGGCATTCTACGCCCGATTGTGATAATAAGTGTACAGCGGACAGATATCCTATATAGCGGAATGATGTCCCATGTTTGGACTGTTGTCGAGAACGGTGTTGCTATTATTGTTAGCAGCAGTCCATTTCTCCGTCCGATCTTCGAGCAGGTTGCGAGCGCATTCGGGTCGTGTACAAATATCACACGAACTACAACCTCCGAAAAACATAGTATGCGACATACAGAAGATGGGAGACTCTTAGTGACAGCTCCAGCCGCAGCTTTTCATGTCCAAGGAAGTCATGATGCTGAAAGCATAGATCTATCAGACTCACATAATCGGAGGCAGACCATGTGGCTTTCAAGTTCAAATTTGGCTGTCTAGTCTTTCCCGCTGGTTCCTAATGTGTTTGTATACGACTTTTTAATGGTCGTTTATCTCTGTTGTCTTGCTTGTCACGTTTAAAAGTATTCATGTCTTATCTCTTGAGCAGGACAACGTTCACGACGGTTGTTAGACATATTTTCCTTTTTATTTTTGTTTCTCTTCTTTGTATATCCTACCGGATGTAGTGAGTTGATCTAGCCTGGGATTTTACACAGTTTACAGGCATGTTTTCATTTTTTTGTCGCCCCCTTCAATATCTATCCTACACATTAAATCTTGCAATGCGACAGTGCTGTCTAGATGCTGCTTGATACCTCGGCTCGTTTGTCCACATTAACAATTTATATACTTCAAGGCTTCTTCACTTGAACGGCGGTAACATAGGGATACATAATTTGCGCTTCCTATGACCTAGATTTCATAGTGAGGTTCTAGAAGGTGCCCTTGGAAGAGTCCGTCCACCGCTCAGTCATATGACTACTGAAGACCTAAGCTGATCTATCACATTTGAGAATTTCCTACAGTAAGACACTTATTATTCTACACAGGGACTTTTAAATAAAGGGGTGTACTATTAGTGGCAAAATATCCGACAGACAGATTCTAGACAATATCAACGATTATATCGCAAAAGTGGAGATGTATCATATTCCTGGAGGCTATTTCTAACACCGACGTGCTATACCGGAACAAAGTCTAATCTAAACACACCCTATCAAGTATACCGTACGTAGAAACGTACCTTCAATGACATAAACCCGGCCAAGTCTAGAACCGTCTCTACATGCTCGAAACCCAATGCAAGTCCGCAATCTCCCAGTCCGACAGAATGCTCAACGCCAGCGAAAATCCGTCGCGACCAAAGGTATCGCATCCAAATAGATCGACAAAACACGCCTCACCGAGAGCTTCCGATTTGCCTGATGGGTAGTGGCCGGATCTGTGGGATTAATATATTGGTATCCTTCTCGGTGGGCGCTTGATTCTGTGCGACAAGGTCAGTACCAATGAGATCATATCCGAGCTGGAGAAGCTTGCGCATCACAGCCGTTGAAACGACGAGGAATACCAGACTCGTTTGAAATGGCCGGCTTATCTTGTAGTGTTCGCCGGACAACCGCCGCGGTCGTCGTTCGCGGGCCGAACGTCCTCCCTTCAAGGCGCCCGACGATCACCAACGGAACGGCGTCCCGTACATGTTTTGTGAAGAAGATAGTGCTATAGGGAGGATGTGGTGTGATTGTCAGGATAACTAATCTCAATTGACACCTTGGGTAGGTTAGGGAAATGCGTCTTTGGGGTGTGCTAAACTCGCATGTGGGGGGCGCTTGGTAACATAGCTTCGTCCTGATGAAGCTTTGGTGGATTTAAACGCGATGAGACACGTGTTGGTTGAAAGCGTACAAGGTTTGTTATCTGGAAGAGTCGACGTTATGGAGGGTGTCGATATGGTAGCAGGTTGCTAATTGTGCTGATGATGTTTTGCATGTCGTTATATCGCCGCTCAATGTCAAGGTAACAATGATCGAAAATGTCTAGTTCTCTTATCATCCCAGCGCTGAAGTCAATATAGACTGCTTGTTAGCTCAGGAAAATGCTCGGTGAGCAAGACAGGAGAGGTTAGATAAAGTGACCGAGAGTGAGTTTAGATAGTAGAATTCAGTTAACTGGAGGTTGGAGCAGGAAGCAATTTGGCTGCCTATCGTCTGTTAATCACCAAGGTATTCAAATTATTATTGAACAAAAACCCGGGTTAGCCCTAGAAGCAGATACTACATGACCGGTACGACGTCTGGAATAACGTGGAGTAGCCCTACCACGGTACTGGGTGCGATTCAATCTGAGCCACCTCATGATGAAACCTATTGTTCATATACTTTGTACTCCCTGCGTCGTCATGGATCGGACACGCAGTCATACTTCCAATGCGGCCAATTCTCATTGTGATGTTATTACCATTATGATCGATTTGTTGCTGCCTCAGTCACGGGATCTTGTCTGCCCCAAAAACAAAAAAGCAAAACGGGAGTCTTCAATGGTTCTTCAACACCAGAAATCTTTTCATTTAATCCACTCTCCCGGGTGACACAAGCGTTCGTCTTCGGTCCATCTAAGACAATTAGGGCCTACAGATTCTTCCCCCTTTCGAATACGAACCCCTGACTCTCCACCAAATGAAATCCATGCCCGCGTCTTCCACAGCGGGACTGGCGACACTCCGGCCAATCGCCTCAGTACATTTTCAGATGGATACTTATTTTTCAGCTTCTCCAGCCAAGCAATGATTGACTGGCCAGTTGCAAATCCAACGGGAACCACATTGAAATGCTGGCGGCCGATCAGCATCTAGTTGGGCTTATCCTGCGCCATGCCAGTGATGATGCACTGTTAATGGAACTGAGATGCTACAATTTGGAGGAGATTGTATTCTCAGTTCAGATGCCCTCATCATTCATGTCCGTGCCCATTTTTCAGGTTCCTTCTTTTATTTTACCTTTCCATGACATGCCCAGTGCTTCCATGAAACAATTTGCCACGCCACTCGCCTGCGATTCCTTTAAGCGAACTAAGACCTAGTTATTCATAGCACGGAATGTCACCATCAGTGTCTTGCTCATGGCTATCTGAGGAAGCTCCCGTGTACCCCAGCTATACTGACCCACATGGACAAACTGCAATATCTTCTCTGGACCCATCCTCTCTGGGGTATCACTTTGCTTTAGCATTTCGATGTTGGATTGAGAATTGTACTGATATTCTGGCCCTGTTCCGGGTACGTCATCTACTTGATTGCGTCTCACCGATAGTGCCGGCTTCTTTGGTTTCCTAATGGGAACCTCGGCGGAAGACCTGCAAGCGTTCGCTGTGAACCCTGTAGGTTGCGCGATACTCGAGCATAAACGCCGACACGGAACATGATTTAAGATACTGCAACCAAATCAAAAGTACGTATTTCATGTGTCACGGTTCACACGGCTGAAGAAAATGTCACGCTGGCGAGCCCTAGCACTGGTGGCGAGCAAATCAGCTGAGCCGTGCATGAAATTATCCGCACCAATATCCCTCCTCCGTCCTATCAACGCAGGTTCCATAACACCATTTGTCAGGACTTATTGGAACAAACTGGTGCGCCGAGCTGGCGCCGCTCCAAGCCTCATACGTCCCGCATGGCTGCTTACTTGGGTGTCTGAACAGCACACCCCGCGAATCGGAAGGGAACAGGGCTCAGTACCTCGTGGCTATCGGGGGCCACGGTTCAAGTATCCAGTACCATGGGTGCGAGACATAATATTCACTAGTTCCCGTAAAGCCAGGAACGATGGAGCAATTCGAAGAAGTCAATTCCGTGGATTATCTACACACCTTATCCCAGAGCTCAACTACGCTTTTTCCTCCCGGGGCCTTTCTCATATATACCCGGAACATTGTCTCAATCTATTACCAGCTCTCGTAAACTCTCAGGCGCGTTGAGCCGACGAGCAAATCAACTGTTGTCTCTCGGACTCTTATACTTTGATATACCAGAACCAGATAAGCTGAGAACACGTCAGACTTTTGTATCAGAACACCGGTTAAGTCTGGCTGCCCCTAGGTTGGTCTCGTCCAAGTTTGTCGGAACTTATAGTAATTATATATAGTTTGGTCACCGCTCATTGCCATTACACCCTCGCCGTACTTCAACACAGAACTGCATCTCCATTGCCATCGAAGCGTCGTCATCCCACGTGCTACAATTCTCTAGGCTAGGCGGTGGCTCCGCTCAGTACGAAAGAAGTCAGAGACGGAATCACAAGAGTGAGCGAAGTGGAGTGGTTTTCAACATATATTCCCACGGCAAAATGCGCGCACAGCATGCGAGGGACGATCGTGCCAATGGCGTGGCAAACCCAAAACAGGAACAGGATCCCATCGAAAGAAGAAGGCTACAGAACAGACTGTCCCAGAGGAATCATCGTGAGTATATCACTTCCACCTTGAGCAGAAAGTGTGGCTCTAACACTACCCTGCACAGGTCGCAAAATCCGAGACCGGATTGCCAAACTACAGGAGCGGGTAATCGCGAGTGAGCTCAGAGCCGCGGCAAGCCTCAATGGTTGGAATTATCACCATCCTACAGCATCGTTGGCAACCCCGACAACACCGGCGTACGATGTCGAGAGAAAGGGCCTATCTCCTGCTGTCGAGATTATGCCTGCGATGAGTGGCTCTTATCTGCCTGGTTCGACGGGTACCTACTACCCTTTCAGCACCCTGAGTCCAGCAGCTCCCCTACCACCACAGCCTTCACCACCCTTTCCTCAGTACGAAGCCACTGCAAAAGAAGTCGATTCGTCGGGCTCATCTCCGCCGTCTGCTCTCACAAACAGCAGTGTATGTTCTCCAGGCGCTGGCTCCTTCAATCTGGACATGGCACCGAATGCTGCGAGTAACTACGTCCCATCTGACATGAATGGCCAATTCCAGACGGAGCCATGGAATATCTACACCCCGAACTCTCAGTCCAACTTCTACTATATGACCACTGGTGAGTCTCCATTCTGTCCCTACATCATATTTATACGATGAATAAGCTCTGACTGACACTTAACAGAGGCATCACTGCCTCAGATACTGCAGATTCTAGACACCGGAAATCTGAGGCCCAAGGCCGTTATTCTGCTCCAACCAGACGCTCATCAAGCAGGAGTTCCACCACTGTCTACATCTCAACCCCCCTCACCGGTGGAACAAGCAGCACCAGCTCCAAGCGCCTTTCCCATGCAGGGCCTGACATGTCAGTGTCACAACCGAAGCTTCCTGACCGAGTCTCCCGTGGACTGGATGCACGCGACAGCCTCTACAAGTATCTGTCCCTTGCACGGTTCATCACCACTGGATGGCTACCAACAGAAGCTGCCATGAAGCAGAAACCAACGAGAAACGGGGGATCTTTCTTGATAACCAGCATAGATAAAGGTGTTAACGGTTCAACACGGGTGTTTCTAGTTTATCTTTCCTAATTTCAATCAATCTACGTTTTCCATCCAAAGTGGCCTCCCACCAAAAGTAGAATCTCTAAACCAGACACACGCTACTAGTATACTATATTCAATATTAACCCAGCCACCAAGCCTACAACCTCCATCCAACCGGGGAAGGCTTCCCGGCCCAGATGTCTCAACAAATCGGAACGCCTGTTCAAGCACTAAACGCCAAGATAGCATCTTCTCCACCTCATGCAGCCCATACCACAACTGTCAGCGCGATATCACATTCTCTCGAGTCACGCATAGTATACATACATGCCTACTTTGGGGGGTGAGGTCCCCGAGTCGGCATTCCTTTCTGGGATTCGGTCAGCTGTTCTGGGGTCTTTGTCTCTGTTGGCCGGACCGGGGTTACCTGGTTCTCTTGAGACTGGCACACGGAAATATGAGTCTGTGGTGGGGGTGATGTGATAGTTTAGCTGTCTATGTGGTATTCATGAATATACCAGCTCTCCTTCTGCAACTGGAAAGCGCCATGCTCGTGAGTCTGCGGGTTGTTATATTCACGAACCAACCTTCCCCCATAACATCCATCACCCAACGCTGTAGGCCTAAACCATAAACCCTCCACCGGCCAGCTCACACTCTCCTGAGACATAAGCATTATCTCCAATACCCCTCGCACATCAGCATAACCCCCCCCCCCCCGCCGGACAAACATGACCTCCCCGCCTTCTCCATGCCCCCTCATCTTGATAAATGTAGTATGATGCCTCGTGGCCAGACTCTCTTGTGCAATCCCAGCTTTGCGGGGGAGATGTATCCTGGGAAGAGGGGGGCAAGGTCCCTTCTTCCAATCCCGTTTCTCTACCGGAACTTGGTCTTGTGGTGATCTAGGGCTGTGATTTGTAGGTGTCATATCATGTACT